CGGGGCCGGGGCCGGGGCGCTTCCCAGGGAGGCTTTTCCCCGGGCGTGATGGCTCCGAGACCGGTCGAGCTGCGGCGATTCTCTGCTGATGGATGCCAGCCCTAAACCGCCTGCTCAGGAATTTAGAGCCTCAGGCTGGAAGACTTAGGAGCTGGATTCAAAGCTTGTTGACTCAAGCACAGGCTTAGCCCTCTGCTTAGCTCTTGTGTTTGTGTGGGCATCCCAGGATAGAAAGTTTGGTTTGCTGCTATGCCACAGCTTCTCTCACCTTCCCCCATTCTCAGTATCTAACGTATACTTCTCACCCTTAGAATACTCTAGAATGGCTACTCTGATCTTTGTGGATAAGGAAAATGGAGAACCAGGCACTCGTGTGGCTCCCAAGGATGGGCTGAAGCTGGGGTCTGGGCCTTGTAAGTACACTGCTGCAATCAGAAATATACTGGTATTGTGGGTGTGCCTGCATCCGGTTGAGGCATTTAGTGTACTTTGTGGGCAATTGGAGTAAAGTTTGTCATCGGTTCCTTTTCACGTGCGATGTCTTAAGATGATTTAAAAAAGTATTGAATCTCAGTGCTACTTGATATATCATTCATACCGCTACCAAAAATGAAAATTGGGTTGGAGGGGTGAGAATTAGGTTTAAGTTTTATATATAGCGTTCAAGCTGCACGAGTATTTGCTACTGGAATATTCTTACCGCAAAACTTTTCTTTCAGTAATCAAAGCCTTAGATGGGAGATCTCAGGTTTCAACACCACGTGTTGGCAAAGTATTTGCTCCACCAGCCTTACCTAAAACTGCTAGAAAGGCTTTGGGAACTGTCAACAGAACTACAGAAAGCTCAACGAAGGCAAATGGACCCCTCAAACAAAAACAGCCAATCATTTCTGCCAAAAAGGTAAGTGTTGGCTATAAAGCCACTTTTTTCAACACTGAAAAAAGTGTTGACCCTTTGACTCTTAAAATGACTGTTTGCATCCTACCTGGCTTTCTTCAGTCTAAGTACAAGGGAAATAGAGGCTAGCAGACATAAATTAGCGGAGGGAGAAGTATATTGTCCTTTAGACTTCTCTGTACCGTGAAACTGGAAGTCTCAGATGCAGCTAATGCTTCTTTTTGCCTCACCTGTCCTTAACTAGTATCTTAGAGCAGATTCGGTTGATGGCAGCTACCTGCAGGGAAGTTAAAGTACTGAGAGAGGGTGCCTTTTGGGAGAGGTTACATGACTGCTATAATAGCTCAGGTGCTGCCATTCTCCTCGCCTCCCAGAGCAAGCACCAGCTTGCTAGGTGACAACTTGCTGGCATGCTGATCTTTGTGTGCATGTGTAGTACGTCTTAGGACAAGGATATCTTTTTTCAAACGTAAATTGACTTAAAAATGTTAGATACAGGTATTACAAAGATATGGGAAAAACGAGACTGTTATACAGAACTGAAGTGTGGGAAACCCTGCCATAAGGTGATCTCTAGGTATGCAGCTGTGAGGTGAGACAAAGCAGGACACACAGACTTCCAGTTTGGCCTCCTACTGTCGTAAACTTGTCAACTCCAGACTACAGAATTCTCATCCATGGTGTTCTCCTAAAGTCCTTGGATGTCTTTTGCTATCTTTTACTCAGTGTGTGTATTTTAGGAACACAAACTTGTTTTTAATATTAACCAAGCAAATAATGAGGTGAAACTGGGGGAAAAATCACACTTCCATAAGGGAGAAAAACAGCTTCAAGGATTAACTCCTATTCTGGATGCCCATTTTCTCCTCTGCTAGGTTGAATAATTGAGTTGATTAGCTCTGAATTAACTCTGCTCTGCATTCTTGATTACTTACGCTGGCAGGTGCTAATGCTTAATTTTCAGACTTTTGGGTCACACTATTAGAATTATATTTATATTATTGGACTTAGGTGTTCTGAGAATTAAGGATTATGGCTTCTTAAAAGGCAGCATGAAATTGACAGTTTTTTTTTTTTTTTTTGAGTTAGGGTCTCACTCCGTCACCCAGACTGGGGTGCAGTGGCATGCTCCCGGCCACTGCAGCCTCGACCTGCTGGGCTCCAGCAATCCTTCCGCCTTAGCCTTCCAAGTAGCTGGAACTATAGGCGCGCGCTACCACGCCTGGCTAATTTTTTTGATTTATTGTAGAGATGAGGTCTTGCCAAGCTTCCCAGGTGGGTCTCGAACCCGCGGGCTCCCAAAGCGCGGGATTACAGGCTGAGCCACCAAGCCCAGATGAAATTGACAGATTTTAAAACATGATGAGGCAGTTATGTTTTTGAGAAGGCCCTACAATCTGTTTTATTAATCAGTTGGTAAGGCTTCCATTCTCACTAATCCTTATTTTCTTTGATTGTTCTAGATGACTGAGAAAACTGTTAAAGCAAAAAGCTCCATTTCTACCATGGATGACAGCTATCCGGAAATAGAAAAATTCTTTCCCTATGATCCTCTAGGTAGTATCTTTTGGTATTGAAAAAATACTTTTGACCTTTTGTTTCTCTTAGAATTGAACTCAGCTTTAACTTGATGTGAATATGATATGACCCAAATTTATAATGAGACTATCTGAAACTGGGTTGCTTTGAACAAATGTACTTATTGGTGAAATTATTTGCAAGATATCATCTTAGGTCAGGAAGGAAATAGGAGCAAAGATTTGGGTGATATTATTCCTGTCCTCAAAAGCTTAGCACCTAGAGAAGGTAGGATATGTTTACTAGCACTGAACAAGTGTCTAGCAAGCCTTTTTAAAAGTGAGCTTTATGTCAAGTTGAGCAATGCCTGAGTACTTTGGTAAGATTAAGTATTTCTTTGGTTAGAAAGATCTGGCCAGAAGAGTGGCTCACACCTGTAATCCCAGCACTTTGGGAGGCTGAGGTGGGAGGATGGTTGAGACCAGGAGTTCCAGACCAGCCTGGGCAATATAGTGAGACCTCATCTTTACAAAGAAATATTTTTAAATATTAGCCAAGTGTGATGGTGCATGCCTTTTGTGCCATCTGCTTGGGAGGCTGGGGAGAGAGAATCGCCTGAGGCCCAGAGTTTGAGGATGCAGTGAGCTATGATCCCACCACTGCACTCCAGTCTGGGTGACAGTGCGACCTCATCTCTTAAAAAAAAAATTAAAACTGAGAAATTTAAAAAAATATTTGTTATAAACCCATTACATGATTATAATTTTTTAAAATATAAGGTAACTTTTCCAAAACAAAAAAAGTTAAAATGACATGGTTTGTATTTGTGAACATTTGCTTAATTTGGTTTGATATAAGCCAACTGAATTCTTGTGAATTCTGTATTCAACTTGTTGCATCTGTTTTGGTTAGAGTATATGAGGAAAACAGCAACGGCCTTACACAGCTACCTACAGTAGCTAGGAAAGTGAAGAGCATTTTATTTATTTGTTTTGAGTCCGTCTCACTCTGTTGCCCAAGCTGGAAGGCAGTGGCACGATCACAGCCACCACAGCCTTGACCTTCTTGGCTCAGTCGATCCTTCTGCTTCAACCTCCCAAGTAACTATACTACAGACGTGTGCCACCACACCTGGCTAAGTTTTTTATTTTTGTAGAGGTTAAAGCCTCGCTATGTTGCCTAGGCTGGTCTTGAACTCCTGTGCTCAAGCAATTCTCTTGCCTCAGCCTCCCAAAGTGCTAGGATTATATGCACGAGCCACCATGCTGGCCAGGAGGAGCATTTTAAAGCCTTCAGATAACTGTGGTTAGTTTTCTTTGCAACTACACTAAAACTCAATAAGTGACCATTAATTAATGAATGTATTAGTGCAGTGTGGAATCTGAAACCATATCAATGAGCATTTTTTATTTTTTATTTATACATGGAATGTATCTTATCTTTGCATTTCTCTTTTTTATACACTGATCTTTTGGAGAAGTATTGGTTCACTGAGCTATGTAGATCCCAAATGTTGAGATGTTTCCTTATGTAGTATCAAAAGCACATATCACAACTGATCTCATCAGAAAAGTCTAAGAAGATGGTCAAGCTAATGGCTGCAGATCAGTTTTCCAAAATACTTTTTTTTTTTTTTTTAATATTTTGAATTTTGTCATTGGCAACAGGCTCAGTTTTCCTCTAGGTGATAACTTCTTTCACTTTTTGAGAAAAAATTTGACAGATATCCAAGTCTGAGTGAACAGTTTGCTTTCTAATTTTTTTTTTTTTTTGAGTCAGAGTCTCACTCTGTTGTCCAGGCTGGAGTGCAGTGGCACGCTCATGGCCACTGCAGTCTTGACCTGCTGGGCTCAGGTGATCCTTCTGCCTCAGCCTTCCAAGTAGCTAGAACCACAGGTGTGTGCCACCACTTCTGGCTAGTTTTTTTATTTATTGTAGATACAAGGTCTTGCCAGGTTGCCCAGGCTGGCCTCAAACCCCTGGACTCAGGCAGTCCTCTCGCCTCTGCCTCCCAAAGTGCTGGGATTACAAGCGTGAGCCACCACATCCAGCTAAAAGCCCTCTAATTTAGCTTGCAACACAAATAATTGTACTAACTCCTTTTCTTTGAGATGATCATTATATATTGGTATGCAGCAGAAGTGCTTTCTGGCATATTTCTCATTTTATTGCATAGTATATTAAAAATACCTCTTCCCAAGGATTGAGAGCTAATAAAATTAATACTTCCTACTGCATATGGTAAAGTGATACTAAGTGAAACTGGCTTTTTTTTTTTTTTTTTTTAACTGCAAGTGAATAATGGTGATGACTAACACAGTTTACTGTTACTGCCTTGATTCGTGTTAAGGCACCAGCAGTTTTACTTACTGTTTTTCTACCATCGTTGCAAATGTCAGCATAGTGGAGGAAGATATTATCATGAAAAGAAATGGTTTTGACCTCATAGATTCCCTAAAAGGGTCTTAGACCCCACGTGTTTGCTGACTTCACCGAGAACTGCTGCTCTGACAAAGTGCTTTCTCTTTGTGACAGATTTCGAGACTTTTGACCTGCCCGAAGAGCACCAGATTGCACACCTCCCCTTGAGTGGAGTGCCTCTCATGGTCCTTGATGAGGAGCGAGAGCTTGAAAAGCTGTTTCAGCTGGGACCCCCTTCTCCCATGAAGATGCCCTCTCCACTATGGGAATCTGGTGAGTGAGCAAGTGCCTGCCTAAAAGGGCTGCAGACAGTTGGTTTCATAACACTTCCATGACCATGGGGACAGGGTTGTGTGGGAGGTTAGCCCAGGAGTAATTTTTCTATCCTTCAAACTACAGGGATTAGGTTTTAGAAGAATGAAAAAAGCTATTCTTAATTGGTATTGCTTTTTAGTTCCGAACACACCAGTAAAATTAAGTTCTTCCGGAAACAGGATAGTCTTAGACACAGCAAAAAAGATTAAATCTAACTTACATCCTCTTAGGCTATAAGTTGAAATATATACTTGTTCTTACTGCAGAAGTTTAATGTTTTAGCTTGAACTGGTGATCAAAAGCCATCATCGTTCTGTAAATTACATTAGTGGGACTATTAACTTTTTCTTTGTTCTCTAAGAACATTAGAGGTTGAGTTACTTCTAAGACTTCTTTCCTAATGAAGGTCAGTTCTGGGCTGCAGACACATTCCAAGAAGTGTGTGTAAGGAGGAGGTGGAGTAGAGATTTGTCAGGCAAAGGGAAAACGTTAATTTATGATTAAAAGTGACAGGTGGGGCACAGTGGTTCGCGTCTATAATCCCAGCACTTTGGGAGACCGAGGTGAGAGGATTGCCTGAGGCCACAGGTTCAAGACCAGCCTGGGCAACTTGGTGAGACCTTATCTCTACAATAAATCAAAACAATTAGCTGGGTATGGTGGCACCTGCCTGTAGTTCCAACTACCTAGAAGGCTGAGGCAAAAGGATCACGTGAGCCAAGCAGGTGGAGGCTGCGGTGACCGTGAGTGTACCACTGTACTTCAGCCTGGGCAACAGAGTGAGACTCCAACTCAAAAAAAAAAAAAGAGACAGTGAATGTCTATGTTGCTATAAACAATTACTCAAGGATTTGCAGAAATTTAATAAGAAATTCCTGTTTTCTAGATCTGTTGCAGTCTCCTTCAAGCATTCTGTCGACCCTGGATGTTGAATTGCCACCTGTTTGCTGTGATATAGATATTTAAATTTCTTAGTGCTTTATAATGTGTGTGTATTTATATTAATAAAGCATTTCTGTGTTTAATAGATCTTTTTCCTAATATTGTGGTTGGTATTCCTTGAAGTTAAAGCAGTTTAAAAACTAGCTGAAGTGTTTAGCCCACAAGTCTATAATTTGACAACAGAGACTTATCTGATTTGTAAAAACTTACCTTAAATCTCTCCAATTTAACAGCTTCATTTAGAAACTGCCACCATTGTCTCTGAAAAGTACATCCCTCAGTATATACTTTACTGCCTTTTTGCAGCTATTAACTAGTGACAGTTATTAGACCTCTTAATTAGAAGAGGCACTTCCAGCTCATTAAGTACCTATTGCTAAGCATTCCTTATTGCTGGTTCTATTTAGTTTCTAATGACTTTAATACTCAGTATTCAGTAATCAGGATTTGAAAGGCTCTAAATCTTCTGAGAACTCAACCTCCTTGGGATCTTCAATTAGGTTCTTTAAAGATTACTGCAGATAATTTATTGATGGTAAGATCGACTCTCCACCTATAGGAAACTATTTAGTTGTTTACTTGTGTTGGACATTAGTATTTGAGAAACATTGTGCTTAATGCTTGACACTTTTTCAGATGAAGGCAAAGAGGCTCAGAAGTTCATTTGATTTGCCAAAGGTGTAAAGAGCTAGAAAGTGCTAGAGCTGCTATTTTGGTTCTAAAACAGATTGGAATTAAAGTAGAAATTGCAAGTGGTTGCCAAGGGTTTTCTTTTTGTGAAGGGAGTAGATGATATAAAAATGTAATTGTTTCCACTATTTGTTGTTTTTGAGTTGGAGTCTCACTGTGTTGCCCAGACTGAAGTACAGTGGCATGCTCATAGGTACTGCAGCCGTGACCTGCTGGGCTCAGGTGATCCTTCTGCGTCAGCCTTCCAAGAAGCTGGAACTGCAGGCATGTGCCACCATGCCCGGCTAATTTTTTGATTTATTGTAGAGATGAGGTCTTGCCAAGTTGCCCAGGCTGATCTCAGGCAATCCTCTCACCTTGGCCTCCCAAAGTGCTGGGATTATAGGTGTGAACCACCGCACCCAGCCTTGTTTCCACTATTTAAGATTCCAGTGTTTCACCAGTCTGTGGTCTTGGGGCTTCCCTTGGAATTGTATATCTGTCATTGTAGGCCCTGTTTCCAGCAATCATTGGGCTCATTGTGGAATACTGGCTGTCTTTTAGGTGAGGTATGGGCTTCCTATCCCACAGACCCTATCTCAAATGGCCTTGTGGGGGGACCAAAGTCTTTTTAGTCTTTCTTCTCAGACCTACACTACTTAACTCGCTTTACTACTTAACTTCCTTTACTTGCTTGGGCCAATTTGATTTGATCCAATTAATTAAAAAAAAATTTAAACATTTTAAAAGTTTTTTAGACTGGATCTCACTCTGTCGCCCAGGCTAGAGTACAGTGGTATGTATGCTCATGGCCACTGAAGCCTCAACCTTCTGGGTTCAGGTGATTTTTCCATTTCAGCCTCCCGAGTAGCTGGTACTATGGGTTCCTGCCACCATGCCTGACTAATTGTTCTTTATTTTTGTAGAGACAGGGTCTTGATATGCTGCCTATTCTGGTCCCAAATTCCTAGGCTCAATAATTCTCCTGTCTTGGCTTTGCGAAGTGTTGGGATTATAGGCATGAGCCACCATGCCTGGCCTGATTCAACTGATTTTGTAGTCATTTGACCCTGATCCTTACTTGATACTAAGGTATAAAGAAGGCTCTTTTTTTTTTGAAACATCAGTAGCTTCTACACGCAAGTGAGAATATGAACCTTTTCTTTGTGGTTGTTATTGGAGGACACTAGAAGATTATTAGGTATGAAGAACATCTATAGCTACTGACGCTGATTTTAGAACTTTTACCTTCTCAATAGAACTTAAGCAGTCTGCATTTCTGGGATTAGTAGGGGAGAATACAACAAGACTACTAGAGCATTTGTCTTCAGGGGAGAGAAAAGCAAAATAGGCTGGATACAGTGACTCACGCCTGTAGTCCCAGTGCTTTGGAAGCCTGAGGTGGGAAGATTGTTTTTGGCCAGGAGTTTGATACCAACCTGGGCAAGGTAGTGAAACTTTATCTCTACAAAGAATAAAAAAAAAAAAAAAAAAAAAAAAAAAAAAAAGCCAGGCTTGGTGGTATGTACCTATAGTCCCAGCTATTCAAGAGACAGGTGGTAGGATCGCTTGACTGCAGGAATTGGGGGTTACAGTGAGCCAGGATGGCACCACTGCACTCTAGCCTGGGCAACCAAGAAAGACCCTATCTCTTAAAAAAAAAAAAAAAGATAATTTTAGCTGGGCTCGGTGGCTCAGCCTGTAATCCCGCACCTTGGGAAGCTGAGGTGAGTGGATTGCCTAAGCCCGTGGGTTCTAGACCTGCCTGGGCAACTTGGTGAGCCCTCATCTCTACAGTAAATCAAAAAATTAGCCGGGTGTGGTAGTGCACGCCTGTAGTTCCAGCTACTGAAAGGCTGAGGTGGAAGTGTTAAACCCAAATTTCAAAATCCGAGAGACCACCAAAGAGCCAGCTCTGATGCAAACACACAAGGGTCTTTATTCAGGCTCGAGTCTGGGCTCACGAACGAAGCTGGCTGTGGCTTCAGGGACAAGAGCCCCGATCCAGCATGGCAAGCAGTCTTTATACACCATTACAGAGGGAGGGAAAAGAACTCTAAGCTTGGTTTTACATGATTGGGTTATCTCTCCTAATGGGTACGGGAACACTTGGTATTGGTAGGTGCCTTTCGTGGGCTTCAACCTGACTGCCCGTGATTGGCAGAAACCCACCCAATGGGCAGAGTGGAATGTCAGATAAGTAGGTTCATACAGTCACTGCGTATAAATTAACCTGAGCAAGCAGGCAGATTACTAGCGTCTCCAAATCTGCAGCAAAGGAATGTCTGAAAGGGGCTTATCACTTTTACATCCCGTTGTAAAAGCAGAAGTCAGCATGGCAATTGGGACTAACAATGCTTAACCCAAGAGTTCATTAAGACATTATATACTTAAGACATTATATAATTACACAATCAGTCGCTACCCGGCACCTGACATATGCCTAATTCTACGGGGTCTGAGGTAGAATTTAAAGTACTAAGATTTCATAAAGTACAATGAACATGAGGTAGGGATATATAAAATATAGTGAACTAAACACTACTTTTACAGCAAGTATGGCTTTTTAAGTTTCTTGGTTTCTTGGGTCTCTCAGAAGGATCGCCAGAGCCCAGCAGGTCGAGGCTGTGGTGGCTGGGAGCAGCCACTGCACTCCAGTCTGGGCAACGGAGTGAGACTCCAACTCCAAAAAAAAAAAATTATAATTTTGAATGGCTTCTATACTCTGTGATACAAACCTTGAAACTTTGAAAAATCGTCTCTTGTGGAGGGAGCCAAGGGCTGGGAGCAAGGGGACTAGTCCATTCTTTACCAATTGACTACTCTCCTCAGGTCAGAACCAAGCCTGGAGTGATCTGATCTTTTCATCTGTTGTTAACCAGATTGCAATGAGCTTAATGTGTGTTGAGACTTTAATTGAGGACTTGAAGCAGATGCTCCTCCATGAATACAGATAATTTGCATCTTAACTTGTGGGGATGATTGCTGTTTTGTAAAAACAATTCTAACACTTGTTGAAATGCTAAGACACACTTCATTCACACCTTCCCCACTTTGTCAACGTGTACCTTTCTCCATACCACCCCCACCTCTCAGGGTCCCGTACCTCCGCCCTGGTAGAGGATGCAGGAACTCAGGAATGTTTTTGCTTCCATTTACCCCATAGACCTGCATCAGAAGCGTCCCTCCTTGTGTGAGCTCTGGGTTACCTTCCTTTTTGGTTATTTCCTTCCTCTCTTCAGTTGCAGCCTCTCCAGCCTCTATCCCATAACTAAAAATCCTCATTTCAACATCTTTCTCTAGCTAGGGACCTCTATTTCACTCTTCAGTGTTGGACTGTAAGAGGCTTAGTCTTAGCCTCTTTGCTAACCCTACAAACTCTTCCCGTGTGATCTTATTTACATGTATGGTTTAAAATACCATCTATGGGAGGCTGAGGTGAGAGGATTGCCTGAGCCCGCGGGTTCGAGACCCGCCTGGGCAGGTGAGACCTCATCTCTACAATAAACCAAAAAAAAATTAGCCGAGTGTAGTAGCCTGCCTATAGTTCCAGCTACTTGGAAGGCTGAGGCGGAAGGATCGCCGGAGCCCAGCAGGTCGAGGCTGCAGTGGCCAGGAGCACTCCAGTCTGGGCGACGGAGTGGGACTCCAACTCAAAAAAAAAAAAAATACCATCTCTGTGCTGATGGCCCCACAGGTATGTCTATCCCAGGTCTCCCCAGATCTCAAATCTATTTTGTCTGAAGTGGAACTTTTGATTCTCCCAAGTCTGTCCTATGCTACCATTCCCTACCTCAATAAGTGGCATTTACTCCTGTGACAAACCTAGGAGTCATCCTTGTCACCTTCATCTCTTTGCACATCCTTTTTACAACCCGGCCCGTGGATTCTGCCTATATGTATTCCTAGTTTCCTCATTTTTTTCTACTCCTAACTTGCAGGTGGTCATCTTTTGAGATCACCAAGTCCTAACTGGTTGTCTGCTTCCACTCATGTCTCTTTCTGTCCATTCTCCATCCTCAAGCAGAGTCACATTTTTTTTGTTTTTTAGTTGGAGTCTCACTCTGTCTCCCAGGCTGGAGGGCAGTGGCATAATCCCAGTCACCACAGCCTTGACCTGCTGGGTTCAGGTGATTCTTCCACCTCAACCTTCCAAGTAGCTGAAACTATAGGCATGTGCCACCATGCCTGGCTAGTTTTTTGATTTGTTGTAGAGATGAGGTCTCACCAAGTTGTCCAGGCTGGCAGAGTGACATTTTCTTTTCTTTTCTTTTTTTTGGTTATATTTTGTTTTTTAAATTGTGGGGTACAATTCAGGGTTAGGTATACAAATATTCATTGTGCAGGTACCCTTGTTGATGAGGTGTGCCCCACCCCTACCCAGGCAGATGACAACTGCCAATCCTACCTCTCCACCC